CATCTTTTTTCTTTTTGTACCAATAATCATCACCCTTTTCTTCCTGTTTATATCGTATCCAATCATAAATCCTTTCTTTACATGTTTACATCGTGCGCCAGGAGGTAAACATATTTATGGATCTCTGTAACCAGTATTATCCTTATGGCCCTTTTTATTTGTTATATGGATAATGATGATAGTGAGCATTTATAAGTATTGGCCCAAACCTCTGCACAATAATTCATATAAAGTGAAAGCAGAATGTGTTTTTCTTTACTCAATATTGAAATGTTTCTTGGAACTGTGTTATGTATGTTTTATATGAGATTTCCATCTTATTTTATCTTCTGTTTTTGTTATCATCTATTATATCTGTCTATACCACTTATGCTGAACTCGTTCAATTTCCACAGCATCTATCTGAGTCTGCACTTTAGTTGGACAATTCCCAAAAGAGATTATTTAAATTTTTAAGTAAAATTAAAATCTTTCGCCCAGAAAAAACAAATATTTGTGGTTTTAATGAACTGGTTTAACTGGTTTTAAAGAATCAGATACTTTACAAATAACTAAATAAATACTGAATCCCTATGGACCAAGTACCTCCAGGAACACCACAAGCAATGTCCAAGCATGATGAGGAATATTCTCCCAACTTTCAAATTGTTTCCTGTCCCTTAAATAATTTTACAATCAGATGTAAAATTATTTACATCTGATTGCAAAATTAGATGTAAATAATCCATCCCATATCGTTTAATAGGGGTTATTAATTACGATTTCATGGTTGATTTTTTTCTTAAATGCTTTTTGAAGATTTAGGAATAATCCAGCCACAAGCTGTTTCTGATCTACAGCACTTGTAATCTCTTTGATTAATACCAGTGTTTAATGGCTCAATCTGAATCGATACTGACCGTTATCCTACTGTTGACGGTCTGTATTACTTTTTTTCCCCCGCCTGTCCCGTTTGGTTCTTTTGCCATCAGAATTATTGTTTAAAGGCCAAGAAAGATGCCCAACGGATTTACTTTACCAAATGGACCATCCCGGCCTTGCCGTATTGGTCCATTTGATTGACATTTGTTTTTATCGTTTATTTCATTTTATTTTCACTTGCTACAGGACAGACATGACTGAGGGAAAGAAAAGGGAGAAAGAAAGCGGGTAAGAGGAACGGTGATAATAACAGTATACTAATGCTACTAATACTGAATCGATACTACGGTCACTGACTGACTTATGACAGGTTGAATATTAATATTAACTACTTCAATAAATGACAAGCAAAACACTAACGGTGATATCAGAGGTTGCACATAAAGACAGGAAATGAATCTGTGTCAGAGATCTACTTCAGATTCAGCAGGAGGGGGCGAGTGAGACGGAAACTCAGAGCTGTTGAGACATTTGTTAAGAACCTTTTTATTTGAAGTGTTTACCACATGAACATCTAACAGATACCGTTTAATATTTAGATCAACAAAAAAGTTGAATACAGTGCTCTTTTCTAATAAAAAGCTAGTTTAACCTTCAACAATCAAGCAGCTGACTTGAGACGAACACTTCCCAGTGAACTTTAGGAATTTCTTAGTTACTAATGCAAGAAAATAACTACACAGAAAAAGCTGGCAAATAATAATTAAGTGGAATTTTCACAACTTGACAAACCAGTATTTTTCTTTCATTCAGAACTTTATTCAAATGGTCAGTAAATTTCCTCAACAACCTTACGAGATGACGAACCACACTTATTGAACCAAAAATCTTGAGAGAAAAAGTCAGAGAAGTAAAATAATAATACTTTTCATTTTTTTCAGTCCCCTACAAAAGGTCAAGTCTTATCTTCTTTACAAATTCTGAGTAGCAAAACAAGAAAGGTTCACAAATAATACAATTTCTGACAGCTAAACCACAATGCTGTTGTCTGAGGCAATAATTATTATGGAGACTCACGCTTGCCCTTAGCAATGTTCAAATGTTGCTAAAATCCAAAGGAAGTGTTGACAAAGAACATAAAGGTAAACTAAAACTAAGTTAAAAGTATGCAACTAAAACTTTTATAACCACTCAGAGGAAGTGTATTAAACATATGCAAATACCCCATTTCCAGTGACTGGCAGTTGCTGGTTTGAAAAATTCTAGCACTGGTCAATTTTTTCAGACTGTTTCCACTTTCCAGTTTGAACAGTTTTATCTAATAAGAACTTGTGTGGACTAATTTTGAATCTAACCAAACCAAAACATTCTGTCTAAACTTTGACTGAGCTAATGGAACATGCAACATTAACAAAGGCCCAAGTGTTTCCTTCATTTAGGCTTAAGTCCCCTTACAGTCCTGGAGGTAATTTAATTTGCTTATTTAACAATTTATCATTTCAATGTCTAAACCACTTTTTCACTCTACATTTTACTGGTTTTCTCAGGGCCTATAGAGAAACAAGCACCACTGCACAACAGACCAATAAGGTCATTAAACAATGGATAATCTAATGTACCATTTTGTTGTACTGCTACCGAACTTTAAAGGTACTGAAAGTTAAGTAAATGGTAAATGGCCTGTATTTGTATAGCGCTTCCACTAGTCCCGCCTAGGGACCCCAAAGCGCTTTACACACCCAGTCATCCACCCATTCACACACACATTCACACACTGGTGGAGGCAAACTACAGTTATAGCCACAGCTGCCCTGGGGCAGACAGTACACAAGATGTGACACTAACTGAAATCTCAGGAATCTATATCTATTCTGTGCAACCTGATCTCGAGGGTTTTAAGTCTGAGACCATAAGTCTGGCTAGATGCTTCGAGGCACTTCCTTTTATCCAGTGAAGGAAATGATTTCTGCTCAGCATGTTTGACCTGATGTTTCCACAGACCTCGCGATGAAGCAAATATTTTTGGGCACTGGTAACAATAAAACTGCTTATTTGCAATGTGGCTACGCTTGTGACTGGTGTAGGAATTGTGAGTCCTGAAACTCTTGTCGCACTGGTCACAGTCATACTGTTGCTCTTTGTCGTGAACATGTGCATGTCGTGCGCGCATAGATGCTGAAATAAAGGATTTGTCACAGTGTTTGCACTTAAAAGGTTTCTCCCCAGTGTGGGTACGTTCGTGGTACTCAAATGAAGACAGGGAGTTGAATATCTTTCCACAAACTTCACAAGGAATTATTATCTCTTTGGTGTGGATGAGGTGATGTAAGCGGTAAGATCTTGAATGTCTGAAGCTTTTCCCACACTCGTCACAGGAGTATGGTTTTTCTCCAGTGTGTCCACGTTCATGAAGCGTGCGATGACCTGAGGATGTGAAACTTTTCTCACAATGTCGACACTTGAATGGTTTCTCCCCTGTGTGAATTCGTTTGTGTCTTCGGAGACTACCTGCATTGGTGAATGATGACCCACAGACATCACAGACATGACCTTTAACCCCACTGTGGACAACTTTGTGGCATTTTAATAGACCCAGTGTTGGGAAGCCTTTCCCACATTCTTTGCAATAGTTCAGTTTGTGTCCAGTGTGCATGTTCTGGTGTCTTCTTAAGGTTAACAGCTGGCTGAAAGTGTTTCCACACCGGACGCAGCGGTATGGTTTATTGCCACAGTGCTGACAGCGGCGAGGATTTGAGCCATATGTGCTGCTCCATTTCTGAAACAATTACCAAAGGTTATAAGGAAAACAATCAGTTACAGTCTGAGATCTTAAATATTTACTTCTCACATCTAACACACTGACTCCGCACTTACTGTCTAATGTCTAAAATACTTAAAACAATATGATATGAAGAAAAGATTTCAGAAAACATTTCTTGAAATCCATTTCAAATACCTGACAGTGGTGGCACTTGATTGATTTCTTTCCTTTGTGAATCTGTCGATGGTGCCACAGAGAGCTGGAACTTTTAAAACGCATACCACACTGGTCACATTTGACTGGTCTCTCCCCAGTGTGGTCTCGTTTGTGGATTATTAGGCTGCGATAATGGCTGTAAGCTTTCCCACACTGTTCACAGCGATGCGGTTTCCCCCCTGTGTGTGTAACTTTGTGGGCTTCTAATCCAGAATACAAAGGAAAACATCTACCACATACTTCACAGCAGTACAGATCCTCTCCCGTGTGCATTCGTCGGTGTCTTTTCAGGGTCACTTTCTGACTGAAGTTTTTTCCACAAAGGTCGCAGCGATATGGCTTGAGTCCAGAGTGGGCATGCTGATGGAGAGTTAAGACTTGCTTGGAGGAAAAAGCTTTCCCACACTTATCACACTTGTATGGTTTCACTCCAGTATGCCTGCGTTGATGATTTTTTAAGTTACTCTTGCTGACAAAAGCCTTTCCACACAGCTCACAGCTGTGTGCCTTCACTCCACTGTGAACGAGCTCATGCCTCTTCAAGTATGCCAAATGAGCAAACTCCTTCCCACATTCATCACAGGAGTGTAGTTTCACTCCAGAGTGGGCAACTAGGTGCACTGCTAAGCTACGTTTTTTGGCATAAGCTCTTTCACACTGGGTACACTTGTATGGTTTTTCTCCAGTGTGAGTGCGTAGATGAATTTTGAGGTTGCCGGACTGTGTGAATCCTTTCTCACACTTATCACAGCGGTATACTTTATCACCAAAGTGGACGCACTGGTGCCTTCTGAGCTCAGCTGATGAAGTGAAAGCTTCCTCGCACTGGTCACAAGAGTAACGCTTCGCCCTTGTATGAAGTTTACTGTGTTTCTTTAGATTTCCTTTCAAGAGGAAAGCTTTTCCACATATCTCACACAGGTACTGTTTCACATTTTCATGTATTTTCTTATGTGCTTTGAGGCTGGCTGTCCAACAGAAAGCTTTTCCACACTGGTCACAGGAATGTTGTTTTTTCCCAGCATGGCTGTTCTGGTGTTCTCTGAGACTATTTTGTTTTGTGAATCCTTTCCCACACTCATCACACCAGAACCTTTTTTCTCCAGTGTGAGCTCTCTTATGTACCTTCAGGTAGTTGAGTAAACTGAAGGACTTGCCACACTCCTCACAGGTGTACGGCTTCTCTCCAGTGTGGATGCGCAGGTGTCTTTTCAAGGCTGCTATATGATTAAATGACTTTCCACACTGACCACAAGAGTACGGTCTCCTTCCAGTGTGGGTGTTCTGGTGTTCTTTTAAAGCACAAAAAACTGGGAAAGCTTTCTCACATTGATCACAGGGATATGGTTTTTCTCCAGTGTGGGTGCGCTTGTGTACCGTGAGGGCAGATGTGTGACGAAAGGTCTTTTGACACTGGTCACAGCTGAAGGGTTTTTCTCCAGTGTGAATACGTGTGTGAATTCTTAGAGCTGCTGCTGTGATAAAAGCCTTTTCACAGTGCTCACAGCTCAAGGGTTTCACTCCAGAGTGGATGCGTTGGTGGTTTCTGAGCTGTTTTGCAGTGGGAAAAGTCTTTCCACATTCTTTGCAGGGGTGTGATTTGTCTTTGTTTGTTGCTGGGGAAGCCTTATCATCCTGAGATCGCTGAGTTCTCACTTTGCTTTGTCTTTTACATTTCTGCAACAACAAACAGATACAGGAGTAGAGACAGTGAGTGCAAAGTATTCATAGTCAACCTTAAACCACATAGTTCTCTCATGACAAAAGGTGAGACCCATCTTTGTGACATTTTGTGTGATTAGGGCTGGGCCACATCATACAGTTCACGATAATACCATTATAATGTTAGGCAATGATAAGAAAATGAAATATCGCAATAGAATATGGGTAAAACGCGGATGTACAGTGCCTTTGTTTTCATACGGACATGGCGGAAAAAGCATGGCAGCAACGGAGAATGAGAAGGCGGAAACTGGATCGTTAAATGAAACAGATGAACCACAATTGGTTTGTAAAAATGATGCAACTTCAGTGGTGTCTAACTGGTTTGGCTTTCATCCGTCAGATACACACCAAAGCACAATTTTTGGTAGAGCATGCAAGCGGGCCGTCATTATTACCAAACCGATACACGACGCTCGAAAATCTGTCAAATAATGTTTTAGTACGACTTTCCTAAGCTACGAAGCCGCACCGCTTGATGGATTGTCGGAGGATTATGGCTATCGTAGGCGGAGCCTCGTGCAGTGATACGTACTGTGCTTCAACATAATATTACCGTATTGTGTGTGTATAACCTCTTTTTAAGTTTTGTGGATATTATACATGGTTATGCTGAGGATATGTCGGCCAGTTTCCACTGGAAATGCCTTTTGGTTAAACTGTCAGCGAGGAATTTGCATTTGCACTGTTACGTTTGTATATAACTTTAATTCACATAAAACAGCTGCTTGTTTAAGTGTATATACATTGATGGGTTTGTTTGTTTTTTTACACTAATAAAGTTGTGGAGTTGTAAAGTATTTTGTTTAGTGTCAGTTATATCGTCAGTTATATCGTTATCGCAAATTTTCAAATGTATATCGTGATAAATATCTTTGGTCATATCGCCCTGCTCTACTTGTAAATCAAATGTGTGGTTGTGAACTGAGTTTTGTAATCTTGTAAAACAAAATATCTGAACATTTTATGTTTGTGCATCTGTAGATGAGAATTTGTGTGTTAACATTTGTGTTTGTAAAAAATATTTACACGAGTTACAATTTTTTTTGTTAAGGCCTGGTTACAGCAAAAAACTACGTGTAAAACTCTGCGCTCAGGTTTCCTGGCTGTGTGTGAGTTTCAACTTACAAGTAGGGGTGGGCGATATAAACGATATACGATAGAAACGATATAAATTTGGCCAACGATAAAGATTTTGACTATATTGCTCTATTGCGATAGCGCATGTTGATGATGTCATCAAGCTGCGCCTGTTTTGGTTGAAAGCATCGCAGCGGCTGCTGTCATATGTCACTGTATGATAATACAACCATTATCATCTGCAAATTATGCTGGGTGACAGTCATAGCAAAGAGATGAAGCACTTTTATCGAGTGGAAGAAAAGTTGGCGTTCATCCTCCAGCTTCACTGTGCTAATGTTATGCTAACATAGCTGTGTCGCTAGCAATCACGTAGCACAACATTATATACCAGGTAGCCCAACTTCAGTAACCCCTGAAACGTCACTGCTGTTTAGTTTTCTGCACTCCATCTTTGGCTTCAACTACTAAAACACTTAAACTACAACTTTTTTCAAAATCCGCTATCATCGACAGTTTTGTGTCATATCACTGACACTGAGGTGCACTCCTCACCTTCTTTGAAGAGCCCATTGTTCCTCTGCAGCGGCTGAAGGAGGACCAAGCTCCTCTTCCTCAGATCGTCTTCATCCCACCAAACATCACATCAGCCTCCGTCTGTGTTTTCAGATTTCGACTCCACCCTTTATCTCGTAGATTCAGGATTCAATCCTAAACGTAAACATGACATGAAAGTCTTTAGATGTGAGAATGTGTTCGTCACTGCAGAGACTCTGAACACGATGAACATCTCAGGATCATGATTTTATTTCATTGTATTTTAAAGACCTACAGAATCTCAGATTATGATAACAGCTAATGTTGGGTTTGAGTAAACAGCGTATGCAGTATATAAACACACCCAAGAAAACGACCTGGACTGTGGCTCGGTCCAGGTTCAGATGGAAATAAATTCAGCATTTATGAATAACGATCCCAGAGTCTGGAGGGAGAGGGGAGGTGTGATGCACACGGTGAAGTTTCTGTGGTCTGTGATGATTTGAGGCACCATGCTAGCTGCTGCTGTTGGTGGCGGTTGGTCCAAAGTCAACTCTGTGGCTGTGTCCCAAAACGTAGGTCGCATCCTTCAGAGGACCCGGCCTTCGCGGTCTGTGTGGGCCGGGTCCTTCGAAGACCGAGAAGGCCGGAAGAGCGAGGCTGTGAAATGGGACAGTCTAGCCTTCAGATTTGCGTCACCGCGGTGTCGGTGGAGTTTAATAAACTTGCCCGTCTGCTCCTTGCTATCTAAAATATAACAGGACGCTGGCGTAAACTCTCGACCGTCTCACACTTCTGTTTAACCCTCCTCTCAAGATATTCTTCCTTCTCGCCTCTTTAAAGAAGCTCTTCATGTTATTGGGCCGAGTATTTTATTTGTATTAAATACTTCATTGTCATCAGGTTGTGTACCAGCTGTTTTCAAACATGCTGTTGTGCAACTTGTGCTTCCAAACTTCAGGCTAATGTCTAAACGTTTTAGACACTCGGAGGATTTGTGAAGAGTTCCAGTCTGGTTTTAAATCTCATCACAGTCCTAAGCAGTGTTGGGCAAGTTACTTTGAAAAAGTAATTGTTATAGTTACTAGTTACTTCTTCAAAAAAGTAACTGAGTTAGTAACTGAGTTACAAGATTCTAAAAGTAATTAATTACTTGAAAAGTAACTATTGCATTACTTAAAAAAAAAATGTTTAACCCTCTGGGTTCCAGGGTATAATCGGCCATTTTAACCACTTTGATGTTTCCTCCACATTTACCTTTAAAAACTGTTTACTTTGC